GCTTCACCAACTGTTAATATAACTGGAACAAAGTATGCTAGCGTGATTTTTACGCCGCCATCTAAGGAAGCTGCAAAAACTTTTGGAGACAGACAGTTTAGAAAGCTAATGTGGGATAAGAACTTTGGCTTCCTCGCTATGCTACAGGTATTTCACTGTATAAAAACGCATTTGTCATTACTATTTCAATAAACCCTCTTTTTCTCATAACTTTGTTTGACAAATATAAAGATTTTGAAAAGTCACGCAATTTAGTTTGGTTAATCATCTTTCTGTACTTAAAAAATTTCTTTGACAATTTCTTTATGCAGTATTGTTAAATAACTAATATCGCTGAAAAATTAGTGACAAAAAACAAATAACTTTTGATTGTCGAAAAGACAGTTGATGCAATTTTTAAAGTTTACTTCTTATTTATACCAGAATTTCAAAGAATCAGAAAATCTGAAGACAGAAAAGTTTCTTAGAGAAAGAGACATTAGATACAATCCCTAGTCGTAAACAGTTACAATGCTTTTCATAACGAGAAAGTGCCTAGCAGTTATGAAAAGACAAAGGTTTCTGATACCAAAGCTCGAAAAACAATAAAGAACTTGAAAAATCTGGGTAAAGTTTTACTTACTTGCTGAAGCATTCTGGAGAAATCGACGAGATCGGTCTTATATCAGTAGATTCTTTTTAACTGATGTTCAATTAATTGTTAGAAAAGGCAGTTAATTTTAGAAAGGAGAGTCTATGAAGCAAGCATTTACAACGACCTGCGAGAAAGTACTTTTACAGAAGAAATTGTTAGAAACACTAAAAAACGAAAAGTTTGACTTACTTATAACGGAACTATTTGACGTTTGCGCTTTTGGTGCGTTAAGTATAGTTGCAGTTAATGATCAACTAACCTCTCCGTCAAAAAATATTTCAAACTTTGAATGTCAGATATCAAATTTCAATTATAATAATAGTCTGAAAGCACTAACAGTAACATTTCCTTTTAATAACTGTCTAGACCATCAAAAATCTTAAAGCTGGAAATAAATAGACAAATATTTACAGATAATTTTTTTTAAGGACTAGTTGAAGTTCTTGAAATTCCTGCCCATATTATTACTTCTGCATCAGCTCTGATGGACAATGTCGCAAGTTTCGTTGGCGTACCGCTGTTTCCCAGCTATGTCCCATGTAATTTACAGTTTTTTCTCATCCGCAGCAGCTTTTTATACAACCTTTGAATCCGCAAACAGTTTAAAACCTCTTGTTTGCAGCAACAGTGGCCCCATTTGCGGATCGGATGACTTACAAAGAGCGATTTATAAATTTTTTAATGACACAAGGATTTGTATACTATTTTGGCAGCGTTGTTTCTGCAGAAGAGAAACTTTTTAAAAAATTTTACGGGCAGAACTTTCCCAGCCTTTATGTACGGTTGCTTTTATCAAAATTTGTATAACGCACTTCTTTATTTGAATGCATCAAGAATTTTTTCCAGGACATTATAGCACAAAGTACCTTTGTCCTAACGAACGGTGAGCCATTAATTGAATATCCTCGACCAATCACTCAAAAAGTTATTGAAATTGCTGGGTTAAGCCATCCACAAGTGAAGCCACTTGATGAGGTATAAGTTTTACAGTGTTAAAAAGCTCTTTTTACTTAGCATCCGTTAAAGTTCTTTCCTATTACTACGATTTAGGTATGGGAGAAAGTGTTGACAGCGAGAGACAGAGCGGTACTCGTGTCGTTTGGCACAAATGTTGAAAGTTGCGATATGCCTCAAAAAGTTAAGAAAATCTTTCTTGATCTGTTTTCGTCTTTTCCGGATGTTACTTTCATCTGGAAATATGAAGCTGACGATTTACCGCTTGACAAATACAAAAACCTAGTTACTGCCAAGTGGTTGCCTCAAAACGACATATTAGGTGAATGCTTTTACAACTTGATTTGCAGTCTTTTCAGAACTTCTTTTTCTAAATGAAAAGAACCTCTGTAGTCAGTTGTACAACAGCAATCGTTAAAGGTCACAAAAATCTGGTAGCTTTTGTCACCCATGGCGGAATAAACAGCATTGTGGAAACGATAAGTATTGGAAAGCCTATGGTTGTTGTTCCGATATTTGCCGACCAGTTTCGCAACGGGAAAATGATACAGCGTTACGGTACGGGGCTTGTTGTTTCCAAACAAGAAATGCTTGACGAGGACCGTCTTTTTCAAGCTCTGAAAGAAATACTCAGCAATAACAGGTCTTTTTTATTTCACCTCAAAAGTATCCAGTTTTCAAGATAATTGTAGTATAAAAGTAACTGTTTTAGCTTCTGTAGCGACAGCATATATTGAATTAACAGTTCTAATCTCTTGACGTTTTAAGGTATAGTAAGAAAGCTGAAAGGTTAGCTAAAATGATCAGGAAAAAACCGATGTCCTCAAAGGAATTACTAATCAAACACGTTGAGTTCGCTGCTGAATTTGGCCGTATACCTTTGTGGGACCCTGTGGGTAGAACGATGCCGTTCTATCAGTTTTACCTTCTTGATATTATAATTCCGTTAATTCTTGTTTTACTGTTGCTTTCTGTCGCAATACTCTTCTGTCTTTATAAGGTGACCAGGAAACTACTCTGTGCAGAGAAGAAAGTGAAATCTGAGTAGATTTTATTGTTGTCTTTTATTGCTTCTTTGTTGGGTGACTGCACATTGAAGTTTATTTAGTGGTCTTTTGTTACTGGTACTAGAGAAGGAATTTTTCCATTTTTTTTTTTGATATTTCTTCCGGAAGCCAGCAGAAAGAAGGTTAAAGATTTTTTGAGAACAATTTTAAGATTGTTAAAACATGTTGAAGACAAGTGAAGTTGAGACCGAAAGAGATTCAGGATTGTTCTGTAAATGTTTTGGTAATAATAGCATCAATAAAAGAAAGTGGCTTACTTTTTGATCTATATAGTCGCTTTTTTCAAATGTAAGATGAAATTTTATCAAATGATTTTTTCTTTTGGGTATAAACAAAAATATACTGAGTAAAAAAGTGAAAATGTTTATTTATTATTGGTACTTTGCTGAGTGACCGATGTTTTTATTTTATTTCATTTATTTTATTTTATTTTTTTGTATTTGGAGAAAAATGCTCTTTCAGGTTGCAAAAGACTAACGTAAAATGACAATATCGGTAAGCTGTACTATTTTTGTCTAATCATTTCTCTTCTCAATCTTTTACTTCACTGATTTATTGTATGGATCTGCAGCACTTTGCAATGCAGGAAATTTTTATATAAACGACGTTTACAACACAATTCAAGTTCCTCCTAACAACTTTGCTTGCATTGTATCTTCTTACTTTATAAGTGCTTGCTTTTATACTTTTAACTTTCTAGTTGAGGTTTACAAGTTACTTAAAGGACAGAAAAATTAAAGGAAGTGGAAAATGTCGGAGATTACTTTTGTTAGCTCTGTTTTCAATATCAACCTTTAAATAAAACTGAATAGGGACCGCAATGTTAAACTTTTGAGACTTTGTGAGAGAGGTTTAGAGAATAGCAATCAGCGGTTTTTAAAAAGCCAAAGAAACTGAATTTGGTGCCGAATGAGGCTCATTGGTTAAACTTCCACAAAAAGTTTGCAGTAAATAAGGATAGTTAAGGAAAAATTAGTAAAATGGCAAATTCATTTGCATCAACAGCCTGCACACACCCACATCAGGTAGAATAAAACTATAGCATTCTAAACTTTTTCTTCAAATTTATTGTACCATAAAGTTTTTCTAAATAAACTTTATTTAAAATTTTTGTCTCGTTATTTTACAGTAAAAATTTTTGTTTAGTAATTTCACAGTAATGAGTTTTACGTACTGCACTCTTAAATAACAATGACTCTTTTGAGAATTTTTTATGACACATACTGTATAGAACTATGGACTTAGCAATTAAGCCAAAAAAATTATGAAGTTTTGTTGAGAAAACAAGTTGAAAAAAATACGATTTGTTTTAGCAAAAAAATATAAGGTTAATGTTTTCAAAGAAAGTAGTTCCTTTTCAGCTAACCTAAAAACAAAAACGCACTAAAAAAAACTACTTGTGAAGCAAAAATGATGGTAACGGCTGAAAAAAAGCATACAAAACAGAAAAAAAATAGGTGTAAGAGTCTTGAAAATTGCTAGTTTTTACTCTCTATTTGGTTAAAACTAATCAAGCACTTTATAACTGAAGAAATGAAAACTTAAAACCTCAAATACTGATAATTTGCGTTCGATTGTACTCATTTTTACCAAAATCTTCTTAAAAATTTAGACAACCTGAAATTTCATAAAATTTTATTCTACAACTTATTAAAAAATTCCCTTCTCATCTTTATTAAAAAAGTGTTTCTTAAAAATGAATTTTAGCTTTGCTGATGAACTGAACTGCCAAAAGAATCGCATTTGTTATTAAAAAACTTTGCTATAGCTCGTCGTTTACTGAAAGTTTTATTGAGCTAATGTCGGTCTTCATAACAGTTGAGTAAATACTTGGCTGAGGTAACGAAAGTTTAATAGAAGCTTTTAACTATTCCATTTAAGAATTAAGACTCAATACATTAACTTAACCTTATCTAACAAAAATAATTTATTATTCCAGTTTCGTGTGAAGACAAATTTATTTTATCTCTAATTTGATTTGGAAGTAAGAGATTAAAGAAAAAATTCGAAAAACAAGCCATTTTTGGATTTGGTAATAAAACGAATAAAAAGCAAAAATGTGAGAAAAATTGAAAGATTAAACAAATTTCAAGTTGTTGTTATAACTAAAGCAATACCGCTACTTAATTGCAGTTGTTTTCATCTGTAATTAGTAATTTATTTTATTGAATGACCTACAACCTTTTAAAACCGTTTTCAGATTTCAAGACCAGAAGAAACTAAATTTGGTTGGCCTAAGACTAGCCTTAAATTTTATGCAGATAATCTACGACTCGCAGAGCAAAAACTTATTCTTCTTACTCTCTGTATCTTATTTTGTTAATAAATTCTAAGAGAAATTGTAAAGAACAATGCTTAGAGAACCATAAAGCAAAAATTTGTAAGGAGGCTAAGAAAAAGCTCGTTGGGAGCAAAACATAAACGTCCAAATTTCTCAAACTGGAATACAAAGCTTTATAAAAAAACGGTTAATGTGAACTAACATTATATGTTTAAAACGTGAAGAATCAAAATAAAACAAGTTTGTCCTATAAACGACTTATACGACTTGAGTACCTTCAGTCTTTTTTGTTGGTTTCCATCAATTTTTTTTTGCCTTGAATGACAGAAGCACCATATTGAGCGCATAATAGGTCATAGCTGACAGTGTAAAAATTATGTTAAAAGTGTTTTTCTTTTGACTGCAGTAGTCAGAAAGTTTTAACAGACTTACGCCCCCTATCACTCTTTTCTCATTTTCCACTAATGTTTTGACACTTAATGAATCGCTTCAAAATTCCTCACTTTTTTCCTTCCTATCAAAAATGCATCATTTGTGACGTACTTATTTTGCAGTCAACCCTTAAATACAGAAGAACCTTAAGTTTTGAACTTCACTTTTGAAGTTATTTCCTTAAAGATGTCGCTGCGAGTACAGACTTTACGTTGCTTGCGAAAAAACAACTGACTATTCCAGGGTTGTTCTGGAGCCCTATCTTTTAATCGGACTGAAATAACAGAGTCTAGTTTCGCTTATCTGTTGCAATAACAGCATAGTTGAACGAGGTTTCTTAACGTCAAATTACAAAAACTTCATAATTGTTTAAAATAAAGTATTGCCTCTTGCTAAGAGTGCGAACTGTACAATGGCAAAATTTCCATGTACAAACGACTGTTGAATATTAGATAAACTACTGTTTCTAAATGTTAAATTCTTTTCACCTTTATTAAACTCATAGTTGGCTTTGGAGCAAACACTTTTCTGCTTTTTAATTGCAGCAAGGAGCTCAATTGCGTACTGCACTTAGATAAAAAAGTTTAAAGAAAACACGTCAAGAAAACCCGCTATTCATCAAATTTCTGAAAGGTAAATGACAAGTAAATACTTATCAGCTTTATGAACCTTACGTCGGCGTTATTCTTCTCTTAAATTTAACAAACCGCTTGTTTCATTTTAAAAACAATATTCTCTCATGTTGTGAGGAACAAAATGACAACGGGCATACCGTATTTCAAAGAATGTCTCTGAGGAAGTTGAGGAAGAGAAAAGGAACAAAGAATTATAAAAAGTTAGTTACCAAAGTGAAAATTTATACAAGAGAATTCTGCGAAACAACGCCAAGTGAGCCCAGCAACTTGAATCCTCAGCTAACTACACTCAAGCTTTCTTCTCTTTTTTTTCTATTTATTATTTTGACAAATTATTATTTTGACAAAGTACGGTCTTGACAAAGTATCTTTTATAGATAAAATTTCTGACAGCAATCTGAACTTCAGAAATGCCCAGTAACAGATGGGTCACTGCTGAGTCACGCTGATGAGCGTTCTAATTTTTATGAGTTGTCAGAACGAACCATATTCGCTTAGTAAGGTTTCGGATTATAAAATTTTGCATCGAGCCGATCACAGGAATAAATGTTAAGTACATATCTAACCACAGCACCTAAGTAATTGGCCTTATGACTGATTTTCACAATAGTTCAGTTAAACGCTTTTTGATCTTTCCGACAATACTTTCCAACAACCGTACTAATTATTATAGCCAATTTCTGATACACAGGTCCAAATTTTGCTTGAATGGCTGAAAAAGGCTTGCAACGTGCGGATTCTGCTCATAAAGGATTGTTGATGCAGTAAAAGTGCAGTAAACTTAGCAGCGAATTTTCTGTTTGAAGTCACACAGATGTATTACCATTGCTTTTGAAATAAAAGAAAGCGCAGTAGATTTGCTTTATATTTGACAGTCAAACAGTCTGAAAAGTCGACTAAGAGGCTGTTAAAAGCAAAAAATGAAGATAACACTTGTTAATACATTTGTTTTTCATGAAATGAAGAGCACACATAAGCTATAAGTTCCAACTTGGTTTAATTAAGAGAACTAATTGGGCTTTTCTCACTGTTCTATATTATAGAGGATAAAACAAAGCATTACTTTTTTTGAAAAAATGAGTTTTACTGCAAAGTTCTCCTTGAGAACCACTTCAGATTTCGATTGACAATTGTTAGAAGTATTTTCAGCCACCTTTTTAAATTCTACGCAAAAAGAAATGGAGTAGGTTCAATGTCTAAATTTGATTTCGTCCACAACCTTTGACAATAAAAACTGAAAAAATGCGAACTGTGAGGCAGATGACAACATGGTGCAGCAGCGAATTTTAACTGTGCAGCACAGAGAAAATAAAGTCTTACCAACAAATTATTACTTCTCAGTAAATAATAAAAATCCTTTACTTCTTCACTCATTTACGTAAAAATACAAGCGCTAAATCTTTTAGCTACACACATTTTTCGAAAAAAACTTTAAAAAGGAAAGCAGAATAAACTCACCAAAGTGCAGAGTTTTGACGCTTGATAAGTCAAAGCATAAGCAGTAGATTTCCATCTTAAAGAAGTAAAAAAGAACCGTTTTTTAGTTATTTTTGTCATAAAAAATGATTTCACTAATTTCTTCAAAAGTAGACGAAGCGTAAACAATACAATCTATTTTCTGGTAATCAGTCCC